CGGATGGTGGTGATCGTGGTGGCCGTGTTCGTTTTCTGCTGGCTGCCTTTCTACGCGCTCAACATCATCAACCTGCTGGTGTCCCTGCCCTCGGAGTACCAGGGCCTGTACTACTTCGTGGTCGTCCTCGGTTATGCCAACAGCTGCGCCAACCCCATCGTCTACGGCTTCCTGTCGGACAACTTCAAGCGGGGCTTCCGCAAAGCCCTGTGCCGCTCCACCAGGCGGGTGGAGAACCACGACCCGGCGGAGCTGCAGCCGCAGCAGCAGGAGGAGGGCCGGCGGGCGCTGATGCCCCGGGAGAGCCTGAGGAGGGCCGTGCGGGCGGAGGAGGACGAGGACGAGGAGGAGGAGGACGTCTCGGAGATGACGGAGATCTACCGGATCACGCAGAACGGGAACACCTTCCAGCCGCGGAGCTCCCAGCTCCCGCTGCTCCCCGATACCGGAGCCACGCCGGGCGCCGGCGGGCAGGCGTCCCCCGAAAGGGCCGGGGAGCCCAGAGGGAAGGACCCCGCCGGAGGGTCCTCGCTGACCGTTCCTCTGCTTCTCAACGGTGCCAAAAACGGCAGCGTCAAAACCCTACCGGAGGAAAACCAGGAGCAGAGCACCTCGCTGGAGATTAGCTATTTGTAGATCTGTTTATGTTTATGTTTATGCATTTGGAAGACATTTTTATCCAAAGCGACTTACAGAGTAGACACAACATTTATCATCATTTTATTTATTTATTTGATATGGACAAAGCACATTAATGAACATCAGTATAAAAACAAATGTAAATATGCCGGATTATAGCTACAAAGCTAGTTTTCATCCGTAGTCCCCAGGCAGGCAAATACATAAGTAAGAAGATTTGATAAACAATATAAGCATCACAAGGAAATGTTAAGATTTTAGTGGTCACTTGACTGTTCCTCTGCTTCTCAACGGTGCCAAAAACGGCAGCGTCAAAACCCTACTGGAGGAAAACCAGGAGCAGAGCACCTCGCTGGAGATTAGCTATTTGTAGCTCTGATTATCAATCAATCAATCAATCAATGTTTATTTATATAGCACTTTACAACAACCGGAGCTGATCAAAGTGCTTTACAGAATAAAAACAGATCAAACTATCGAACAAGACAAAATAATACACAAAGACAAACACATCGGTGACAGAACCCAGTATACAGAGACCCTACGTGCAAAAAGCCATCCTGAACAAATACGTTTTAAGTTGAGCTTTGAACAGTGGCAGGTCAGTAAACGAACGTAACCCAGTGGGCAGAGAGTTCCACAGTTTAGGACCTGCCACTGCAAAGGAGCGGTCACCCCACTGCTTGAACCTGGACCGTGGGACCTCCAGCAGATGTTGACCAGCATTTGGAAGACACTTTTATCCAAAGCGACTTACAGAGTAGACACAATATTACATGTATCATCATTTTATTTATTTATTTATTTGAATAGGGACAAAGCACATTAATGAACACCAGTATAAAAACAAATGTAAATATGCCGGATTATAGCTACCAAGCTAGTTTTCATCCATAGTACCCAGGCAGGCAAATACATAAGTAAGAACATATGATAAACAATAGAAGCATCACAAGGAAATGTTAAGAGTTTAATGGTCACATGACTGGTTTGCTTTCATCCATAATTTGAGTTGAGCTCTAAAGCTGATCAGTATGGGGCTGTTCCCGTATGTGCAGAGGAAGACTGTTCCAGATGTTAGTGGCTCTCACAGAGAGAGTGTTCTGACCAAAAGTTGTTCTTCTGTGATGGACCTCACAGTCTCCTCTGGAGGAGGCCCTGGTTCTCAGGCCACTAGAAGTCTTAGGTTTGAACAGGGTAGACACAGGAGGGGGGGTTAGTCCATGTAGCGCTTTATAAATCTCTATGACATCACTAAATCAAATCACTATGACAATAAGCTATACAGAGGAGAAACACTGATCAGAATCAGTGGTGAGATAGAGATAGAGGTAGAGGGACTACAGAAGGAGCTGTGGGGGGGTAGAGGTACGGGTTAGGGTTAGGATAGGAGCTGTGGGGGGGTAGAGGTACAGGTTAGGGTTAGGATAGGAGATGCTCTTTGAAGAAGGGGGTCTTTAAGAGTTTCTTGAAGACAGACAGGGACTCTGCTGTTCTTGTAGCTCGGTAGGTCGTTCCACCATCTTGGAACGACACATAAAAACAGTCTGGATGGTCTTAACCGTGGTGAAGGCTCTGCTAGACCACAGTCCATTGATGACCGGAGTGATCGAGATCTTAAGCATATAGGCATCCATACACACGCTTTCAAACATGAAAGATGTGTCCTTGTACGGTGTATATAAAGATGATGTGTTTATGTGCATGTCCGAGTGTACGAATTTAAGCTTTTGCTGATTGCAAACACGTGTTGGTGCCTCTCTGTACATGCCCACATGCTGGGGTCTTTAGTCACCGTCCATCTCCAAGACTGTATTGTGTTCACTTCTTGGAGGAGGGGGACAGACGGCTGCTTTTCTATGGCCCAGCTGCTTCATCCCACGCTGAATGTCCAGTATTTGGTTGCATCTTGCAGAAATAAACGCTATAGCCACCACAAACCTGCAGTTTCTGGCTCTTCTCGGCTTTAAATCTGTGCTGGGAATTTGAGCAACTCACGATCCTGGAACAGAAAAGTTCCTGGTCCAAATCTCAACTGTGACTTTCCTGTGCAACACTGAATTAGATCCCACTGAAACTGAGAAAAGAAACAGGATATGAGGAAATATTAGGAGGAATTAACAGCCTCTTCTTCCCATTCATCCATTTGGGATCCCCACCTCCGATGTGAGTAAACCTCAGCGTGTTTCTTTTCTTCATCATTTGGCTGTTTCATCTACATTCTGTTTGTGGATCTGCTAACAGATTGTAGCGATTAGCATAAACGTGTCAGGATGCCTCACATTTCTTATCACCTAGCCTGAAGAAGCTCTCATCATTTTTTTCCTTTTTCTGACCAGCTATATCTGAAATACTATGTTGATGCTTCAGTTTCCTACATCAATTTCAGAGTCTAACATTTATTGGAATAATAGTTTCTTATGGTAAGCTGAAAGCAAAAAAAAACACAGAATGCATCCGAACAAAGTTGATCAAACCGTGATCTTATTTTCCAGATATTTTTAGTAAGATTCGTGACATCCAGCTCACAAACCTTCATTCTCCTGCATCAGTAAACATTTTATAACTGTTTCCCCCCATAGGAAACTTTTTAATTAAGATATGA